CTTTTGCATACTCAAATTAAAGCTTAGGCTTCTAGGAATCTTCTCCTATAAGTGGATTGAATTGTTATGCACTATTTAAATAGTTGTAAACAATTTAAGACAACCGTATCATCTGACATAGTTTAATTTCAATCGAAATCGTATCAAAACCGGTTTTTTGATGTTGCTAATGATCTATACTAACTGTCACGAGTACCAAGGTCCATTATTTATATGCAAAAAGTTAATAAACAATAGAATAAAGTGAATATTTCTAACAAAGTAACATGTATTTAGTTAAAACTGAAATACATGTAGTATATGTTCCCTTGTAAGTAATTTGACAATACGGATACCTTTGTAGATTTCAGATAAAGGGAATGCGAGCAGCAAACTTCCGGTGATAGTGTTTGTTCACGGTGGGCGATACGTTGATGGCTCGAGTGATAGCAACAAGTTCCCTCCAAACTACTTGATGGATCAGAATATAATTCTAGTTGCGATGAACTTTCGTCTTGGCGTTCTGGGTAATACTTCTTGCACCATTGGAATTCATAATCCAATATTTTAATCACACTCCATAGTTTTAAGAGTAACCATGCTCAGTCCATTTTTTTCATAAGTAACCATTCACCCTTCATCGTTTCATTCCGGAGTAACAATTTCCGTTCCAGTGTTCCAAGAGTAACCATTTACGCTATCGTTTCCAAAGCTTGCTTTTTTCGACAACTGCAACAAATCCAACGCCTTATTTATCATCGTTCCACTAGGATTCTTCAGCATGGGGAACAAAGCCGCTCCAGGAAACTACGGGGTGAAGGATGTCGTGGAGTCCTTGAGATGGATCCAGGAGAACATAGAGGCCTTCAACGGTGATCCAAACTCCGTGACATTGTGGGGCAACAGCGTCGGGGCTGCTCTCGTTCATGCTTTGACTATGACCCCCAAAACAGAGGGGTTGTTTCATAGATACATTTTGCAAAGTGGATCCGCTTTTTCCATGTGGGGTATAGTAGAAAGGACCTCGCTGCTTCGGACTTCGATGGAAGTAGTCGAACGACTAGGCTGCCTTCCACCCAAAAATATGAAAAACAATTGTGACGATGATAAGTGCGTTGAAGAGGAAAGCAAGGATATAATGTGTTGCATGAGAGCTGTCGAAGATTGGAAGTTTGCTAGTGTAATCAATACGGTAAGATGGGGCCGTTGACTTTTAATTTGAATTAACCTGTTCAATTATCTGTTGAAATAACCGAGTATCGTTGTTACTGTGTCACTTTAGCTACTTTGATCATTTTATTGACATCTTTGGCGTAATTAGATCCAGAAAGATCATTTTTTTAGTAGGTAATAATTAGATCTTCCATTTATCAGAGTTTGGCGTCAGATTATCTTGTGGGTACTTTAGCACCCACACTCGAGGAAGAATCTGAAGACGCCATCCTGACGGTACATCCTCTCACAGCTTTGAGGAACCGCATGGTCAGAGATGTACCTTGTATAATAGGGATAAACAAGGACGAGGGCGATTTCATATCCCGGAGTAAGTTTGAAGGGAATTCGTAAAATTTATTACAAAATCATTCATTTTGAAAGTGAAAATTATTTCCATTTCCAGGGTATTGGTTCCAGGAGACCTATCGAAACGATTTGGAAGATCTTGTACCCGTTATTCTGGAATATGATCACTTAGATACGAACACGACCGCTCTCACCAGCGCCATAGAAGACTTCTACTTCGATTCGAATTTCACTAAAACATTCACTCGCAATATCTCTCAGGTATGTCGTTTTTTTAATGGAGAAATGATGGCAACAATTTTGAGACTCGTTAAATAAATAAGACGATTAATAATGATTAAATGAAATGTAAATATATAAATTTTACAGGCATTAGGCGACGAACATATAACATGGCCAACATACATGACTGCAAAGTACCTATCAACAGTCATGAATTCTAGTATCTATTTTTATTTGTTTAACTACGTGGGTACATTCAGCTCCAGTTTCATGTTTGAAATCGGAAGGCATGGTGAGTAAAATTAATTGTTTTTTACTATATTTCCAAATTCAGACTCGGTTACCAACTTTATGCTTTCCGTTTGCAGGAGTAACGCATTGCGACGATTTAAATTATTTGATTCCACACTTAAACAAAAAATACAAGATTCTGATGTTACACAACACCGAAACCGATGAGACTATGATAAATATAATGACAGAAATGTGGGCCAGCTTTGCAACCAATGGGTAAGAATTAGAGGGAGGAATTAAATAGAAAAAAATAGAACATGTCGTGTCGAAGAAAGTATGCTACATCATAAATATTATATTTACCTTGAGTAATGCAGTCTGACCTTTGTCTAGATAATATTATGAAACTCGATAGCACCAAGTCCTCAGAGGTCAAACTGCATTTACATTCATTAATGCAACGAGTTACGCATTGCAACTGAAATTTTGTAGCAAAGTACTTGTTCACATGGCAAAAGAATTATTATTATTATGTATGGATTTTGAACTCTGTCCAAATTGTATTTCACTTTATTAGAGTGCCAAGAGCGTGGAAAGTGCCTGCATGGCCTGATTTCAAGACCTCCCAACAGTTTCTGCTATTTGGGAACAACACAGATCCAGACATCGTGGTAGAAAGTGATTTTTTCCCAGAGAGAATGGCGTTTTGGGAGGAGATGACGAAGAAGTACAATCTATATCACACGAATCTGATGAACGAACCGCCAATTAAAAAGAAAGAATTTAACTCCGGTATTTCTTACAAATACAATAAATTGTTGGTTTGTTTATTGTTAATTTTCATCGTTTGCCTGCCGTAAATTGATTTGTTCTTATAATATGTGTACAAATAAAACACCGTAATAACTTTGTCTTATTTGAGTGGTTAATTACGTTTCATGAAAGCAAAGGGTTTCGCACATGGTGACTTTAGTCTAGTTCGGATGGCTGGATCCTCGATCGGAAGGCATGGTGGACCAAACATGATCCAAAGAAAACACCGAGAGAGTCACGCACCAGAATGAATAAATGAACAAAAGTGGATTATCCAAGGCTAAATCATCCCGAAAGATTGTCTTCCTAATAAGACGGAGCTAATAAACGAAAAGCATGATGGAATCCGGTGGAAATTAAGTTAGCCGTGTGGAGAGTTAACGCGTACATAAAATATGCAGACAGCCAGTTTCCAGGGTGTTCCCCTTCACGGCTGCGGCGCTCAGGGAAATTAATCATCCAGCCCGGGTAACCAGTGTTTGTCTTCTTTCCGTTTCCGACCGTATTACGCTGACTCGAAAAGAAAAGTTGCAGAGAAATCTTGGTTGGCAGCAATGATTATGCAATGGCGACAAAATGAAGACAAATGCCCGTCTCTTTCAGCCGCGATTCACCTCTGGCATAGACAGGAGTGATACAGTTGCAAATTACCACGCGCAAGAAGTAACATGGTTGACAAAGACGAAAGAGATAATTAACAATTTCCTTGTGCTTTTTATTTAAAAAATGTAATATTTGAGGCAAAAATAGATCTGTGTAACATGGAAAGATGGACGTTTAACACTTGTCTTCTAGACAAGAATGGAACCACAAGGGTTAGATGATCAGCGCAGAATGAAAACTGAACTGAATCATCGAGTCTGTGAAAACTCAGCCCTGAACATGTGGCGGTATTTTATAAAATTTAATCACGGAATTGATGCGCCAGTCAAGCCAGCAACACTCGGCCAATTTCGAAGTTAGTCGGCGAATAGATTGCCCCTCGCAGTTCATAATTAAACGTCGGCGAGATAAACGCTCCACAAAGGCGTATTCCGCTCTGAAACATTCCCGTTATATTACATTTCCGTTGAAAGAAGAGCAACTTATTTTCCGGTCTTATAACGATCTCGGCTCTATTGTTTTGCAAGACGTTTAATTCAACGCCTCGGGCGAGAAGGTAATTAATGACGGGACAAAAGCAAAGAACCGCAAAGCGGCTTCTGTTTGTAACGATACATTACATCCGCCACTCAACCACCTTAAAAACCGAGGATTTTTTCTTTGAAGGGTAATCCTAGCATACAGAGGTATCTCAGCTAAATTAAAGAATGTCAGGTCTAGATTAGATTTCAGCTCCCTTGTTCATTAAGCTTCCACTTGATCAGCTTGGAAAACTAACAGGCAGCAATGTCAAAGTTCAAAGAGTGTCAAACAACTATATACACACGTGTTCTATACTAATCCGTACCAGATCTGGCAACATTTTTATATGCCATATAGTACGGCGAATTTAAAATATCCAGCGTCCAGACAGATCGTCAGAAGGTTATACCAGAGAGGAGTCTGGCGGGTTTGAAGTTTTCAACGTTCACCGTCGAGACATTTCTCGCTGTGTTTTGCATGTTCCTTTGAAGGCTTTTTCGACAGACGTTTGGATAGTGTGACTTGGACTTTGAACGGACAGAGCATCGCGTCGACCATTTCTCGTCGCATCGATGATCACAAAGCGGACAACACAGAGCTACAAGGAAAAACATCGACTGGCATATTTTGTTAACCTGAGCTGGAAGGACAAAGAGAATCCGCAATAGGGATGGCGGCCAGTCCAGGTGCGAGCGAATAGGAGGAAAAACAACGTGGTGGATACTCGAAACAAAACAACCGACGGGGATCTGAAGGACGGACGGACCACAGAGGACCACGGGAACCCCCGTTGATCGACGATTTGCATAGTCAAATAAGTTCGGGCTCTGATGAGCCGCGTCGCCGATATTTACCCAGCAGTCGAATAATCGTTTTCGAACTACGTGTTGAAATGTGCAAGTGTAAACACGGCCGAAGTGCCTTTCGAGTTCATTTACGCTCAATTCGCGCCGACAGCGCCGATTTCCAGTGCCGTCGAGTTTCGACGATCCACCGCACACTCCACACTCTACTTTCTGGACTGGACAGTGTAACGGCAAAGTTGGGAGCGAACCTGACGGGATTTCAACCTGTTTTTCTTCATCGTCCACATATTTTTACAGAGATAATAATACGTCTACACCCTAAGGGAACGCAATTTTATTTAAAAATAACATTAAAAGTAGGATTGGAGGCCGCAACCGCCATTACTAACCGCTATAGTGACGGCGGTGGAGGCGAACGCTTTCTTTTCGACCGTACGGGGTTGCATACACCACCATCGCGTACAACGCAAGGGACAATTTCGAACACTTCCTCCCATTTCTTTTTAAAAAGAGAAAACAAACAAATCATGTTAAGAATCAACCATCTTTCGCCGCATTAGTGTTAAATTAATTACGGCTCCGCTCGTTTCCGAGTTACAATCGTTTTCCAGGAGCAACGGCAGACACCGAGCGCCTCTTCTTTCAAGCGGTTCGAGGAGATTAACATCTCAGCCGGCAGGCTTGTTAACCAGTGCGCAGAGAAGGTGTCTCGGGGGATACAAAACACACGCCGGTCGGATTTATCGCAAAGGGTGAAATTCTTGACGTACTGCAAAACAGAGTTCTAAAGGATTACTGCTGCGATAACGACGACAAGGAAACCGATGGTATAACGAGGCGAACAGGTGCGCCTCTGTACACGCCGATGAAATAACAGAACGACGCAGAGTCGCCGGAGGGGGCCAAGGAACTTTCTTCATTATTCCAACAATTAGCGGAGCCCGTATTTCTTGTGTGTAGGGGTAGATGCCAGGAGGAACGTAGAAGCACGCTTTCAATCGTTCCAGCCTCTTTAGGGACGGTTTTCCAAAGTTAAACGACGCAGATAGTTTGAGATTCGATTCGAACCTGACAAATACGCTTTGACGTCCATAAACAAAATGGAACCGCAATCGTAAGTTGCGGACTACTTCATGATCGATTGAAAGCTGATTGTTTCTTACACGGAAAATCTTTTCTAATTTAAGAAATTATTTTCCTCTTTCTAGTGCATTTTAGACGAAAGAGTGATTTTTAAAAGCTTCTCTTTTATACTGTATTTTAAATTAATTATGTTCTTTGCCTTTCGTTTTAGCCTGTTTGCGTTGTGAACAGGAAAAACGCAGACCTTCCTTCCAAATTGAGAGCTCGTAAAGGTTGGCGCGCGCGATGTACACGTACGTCCAATGGTAAAAATGCGAAAAGGACCTGGAAGAGGTAGGTAAAGGGGCGATTGCTCGGGGCAACGCCATAGGGGGTTGCGGTTTCGTTCGTTTTCGATTCGTGACATATGAATTTCATAGTTGCGAAGCTGTTGTTTCCATATGTGTGTGTGTGTTTTTTTTTTATTTATCCGTCATTTGTGTTCGTTGCTCGCGTTTTGCCTTTATGGTCCTTTGTACCATACTCGTTTGATAGAAGGTCGAGGTTTTTTATTTGGGCAATATTGACTGTCGAATAAATGTATGTGTACGCATTAAATGTGTGAATGTTTGAAAAACTAAATATTTCTCAGTGTTTCGGGAGATGAAAATAAAGCAGTGAAAATGTGATCTCTATGACTTCTGAGTGACACGAGTCACGCACAAGACTTATCCTTTGAGGTTAAACATCCAAATATCGTCTCTGTCCGAACAACAGCGCAAATAGTCGTGGCGTTTATCATCGCATCGGGCGCGAAACTCGTAAATTCTGGACACGTTCACGCGTCTCGGTCACGTTTGCCAGACGACTTGCCACGATAATGACTCGGTCAGGGTAAAAGTCCATGGGAGATCCTCGACGTCTGGGTTTCCCCTTTTCGCGGAATGGAAATCGGACCAGCATCGATTACGATATTGACGTGTCGCATGATAGAACGACCACACTGGCCAGCACAATACGCTAATGCGACATATTGTTCGGCTCCGCAAAAATTGCCCCTCGTTACGCAACCAACAATGGCGGCCGCTGGACGAACCACCGTGCCATGCTTCCATGGAACGTTGCTGTGAAAATTATAGGAGCCATTCGGACTGGACTGATCGTCTGTTAAATTCTGCTGTGAGAAAGCGAAAACCAGGTCCTGAGAGAAATGTAGAATCGAAGGAGCTGGAGGGAATGTCGTGTCGCTACGACTCTTGGACGAATCCTTAAGGAATATTTTGGAAGGGCCTCTTCTAGACTCGCGATCGGTTATCGATACACTCTGTACAATGTATACACAATGTTGACAAATCGTTAGAAATGATTTTTTATCTAAACATTTCGAACTATTCAAATATGTGGCAAAAAATCTCTCTCAAAGGGGTGAGTTTATTCGTAGTTATTCCAAATGTTTACGGTACGTTATATTTCCATTAATTTTCTGTCGGTTAAGGATGCTTCGTTTTACGGTGACAAATATTTAAAAAAAAATTCCCTGCCTTTGATACGTCCGATTCTCTGATAAACAGGAACAAAAAAAAAAACACGTCCCGTCCGCCAGCGGCGTGTTTCACATTTCAGTACAGAAATTCTCGGTACGTACAGCAAACGCGAAACTACGCGTTTGATGTCACCGTGATGCGAGTTCTGACGTTGAGCGGCTTCTAATCGTCCGGGCAAGTTGTTTTTGTGCCTGTGTCACGTCGAGCGAGGGAAGCAAGGCAAAATCAACAACCCAGAACCATTCACTGTTCGTTTTCCAAAGTATCGGATAACAAATCTCCCATTAAACTCAAGCTTGGCGTGACCCAGTTATTGGAAGAAGAGCAACAACAATAAAAAGCACGCTATTTGGAACCATTACACGTGCTTATCGTAACATTAGTCGATCCTGGAGAACGTTGTACCGCCTCATTCTTAAATGTTTTCATTTTCTTTAAACCGCTAAACCTTCTTAAAACACTACGAAGAAATTAGGAATAGAAGAATCTACGAAGAGAATGTCTACGATGAACGAAGAAACCGGCCATTCCGGTTTCCTAGAAGCCAGACAAATGGCGCGA